ATTCATATCAAGAGGAAATTTTTTAAAAATTTTATATCAATATTCATATTTAGCTATAATTATTGGTTCAACGTTTTTTTTTTTTTTTCATACTTGGCGAGCGAGTATGTATTTCTAGAAAATACAATACCTTACAACCGACGTGAATATTATTTTTTATAAAATAACACACCAACAGATACTTATAGAATTCAATACGAATGCATTTATTGATTTAATGTAAAAATACTTCATCGTTAATCATTTGCTAATAATAAATTGCAAATAAAAATTGAGGTTGAACATTTGTAGGTTGATGATTTGTATTGCAAACAATACACTTAAAACATCCATCATCTACATTATTTAATGAATGCACGATTTCATAAAATAATTTATAAGAATTTATGAAATTGTATTTGAAATCGATAGGCAATAACATTTGCCAATATAAACGATCGTACTGTTAAAATAGTGCTAAGTGCAACATTGTCGCCCACGTCAAATAATAATTCCTTTATAAATATTGCAAAATGACGAGTTATTTCAGAACTGGTTTTTGCACGATAGTGTGTATTTATTTTCTAACTATTGCATTTATTGTAAAACGAAAGGCTATAATATAATAACATAACAAGTAAAATATTATTTAGCGTAAATAGATATTTGATTTAACTTTTTTCGTCTAATAAATGAGAGTAGACATTGAGCTGTTTTTATTACTAATACGTTGATTAGTCTAATAGGAATTTATTATAACTTAGTTAATACGCACATTGCAGAATTTACTTTGAACCATGAAATTATCGTTATTATAAATATAGGTTTTTATTATTATGATTATATTACTTTTAAGTTAATTTCAATTCAAGCAAATAATGAAGAAATCCACGTTCTATTCGGAGGGTAAATTATTTTCTAAAAAAGAGAAATCTAATATACGAAGAAATAATCTTATATTAATTAAAAAAAAAAAAAAAAATGACTTCTTATATAAAAAGAAAATTAATCTTCTATTATTCAACATTTAGAAAATATTTATTATTCAGAAATAATTATTCCTTACGTAAATAATATTTCCTACGAACGAACTTGGCTGTAAGTTATGGTTATGGTACAGTAAAGAGCAGTTTATTGTTCATATACGATATATACGAAGAAGTTTATAATATGATTTATAAAAATTGTGATTTATAAAAGTCAAGCTTTAATAATTTTATCACAAAATTTTATGGCGCACGCGAAAACACACGCACGCACGCACGCACGCACGCACGCACGCAAACACACAAACAAACAAACAAACAAGCAAAAAGATGTAATTTTAACGGGAGGTAATTCATAACCTGATAACTTGTTTATGTTAAATGAAATAAAAGCAAAAATAAAATGTGTGAACTCTCAATGAAATTACTCTTTAAATCGAGGTACCTGTTATACTTGGGGTTGGTCGATGTTTAAGGGGCTCTATGTAAGCAAGGCGCAAAGAGCGATAAAGAATACGAGGGAGAGGTTTAAATAAAAAAAGAAAGACAGATATATAGATATCAACGGACCGTAACAGGGGGTTATGCCTCTATATGATATGTATAAGTGCACTTGCGTATTATACGTACGAGGCTGCATATGTAAAGAGAACACTTTGCTTCACATCGATGCTCTTTTCTCATAATAAATTTCTATTTCTTTTATACAATGTTGTAGCGGAAAGGAGAAAATATTCTACAACAATCGTCAAGAATTCCGTTGAATATGCATTGTTATAATTTATTGTGTCAAGTAGATTTTTGAGTGTTGGACGATGGATTATTAATTACCATAGTAATTAATTCTAGGTATTACAAAAGAAAATTATACGACAGGTATTATTTTACTGACTATATCAAATAAAATACAATGTAAAAATCCATAATCAGTTATAAAAATATCATAACACCATTGTAAATTTCACGTCAATTTTGAAAAACATAATGACAGTGTCTTGTCCAGATTTATAATAAACGTGATTTATACAATTTTGGAAAAGAAATTTTAAAAATCAATTATTACACGAATTATATATTTGTAAGAGTGAAATACGACAATTAGCTAGCCGTGTGCGTTGTATCTACAAATTTTTAGTCGGGCAAAATCAAAAGCAATAAGATGATTGGTCGACGGATTCAAACTCAAGCCATCGGAAACACATTTTAGACGAATTAGACGAAATTCATTTATAAATTGTCAAAAATTCTATTACGTTTATGAATTAAGCAAAATTTTATAAATTAAGTCCTTGAATTATTAATAAACTCTCATATTATGAAAAAATTATCAAACACATCTTTAACATTTAAAAGTTAAAGATTTAATTGAATATGGTGTAACGTGGAGACGTAGGAAATTATAAAAATCGATAAATATAACAAAAATATTCTATCCCCTATATTTAAAATACAAACAAATGGCTTTAATAATACTTACGTAATAATATTGTTTAGATATTAAAAAAAAAAAAAAAAAAAAAAAAAAAAAAAATTTCACAGTGTATAAAAATATACAAGTTATTTCAGTCATATTTCTTAGACACTGAAAACTTCTGTCTACGTTTAAAGTATTTACAAAGTGAATATAAATTTTTATTCAATTGAATTTCAACACGATTGCAAAATTATTATAAATTATGTCGTGACTTAAAAAAAAAAACTCGTCTTTTAAGACAGTAAACGTACAATTACTTAGATTGCAACTTAATTAATATAGTTTTAAACTCGTTAACAGGCATTTAGTAGTCAACTTAATTTATCAATTATTATGTTTTCTTGTATTCTTGTTATTGTTTAAATCGAATTAATTGGCAAATACAATGATGCGCGTTGGTCGGAAATATCGGCGCTTCTACAAATCGCACAACACGGCATTACGAGGTGCCATTTAAAGTAGATGTTACTTTAATATTTCTACATGCGTGGCTAGCAAAACAGCTGAAGTAAGTGAGCATGAAAAGGTAACGATAGCACAGACACAAGCAATGATAACAATAACAATAACAATAACAATAACAACAACAACAACAACAACAACAACAACAACAACAACAACAACAACAACAATAATAATAATAATAAATGAGAATAATAAAAAAGTAGCAAAATTAAGAATTAAATAGATAAAGGGCCCCGTTGAAGCGAATAGACGAAAAAACTTTGTCGAGAATAGTCATTGTAACGACTTGATGATTAAGGATGCGATTACATTGATTAAAAGCCGTTGGTTGGTTACCAAGCCAATCGCCCATGGTATTTGTAATAAATATTAAAAATCTATCACTCTTCCTATTTATTTATTCATTTATAATATAAGTATTGTAATACGGTCGTTTACAATTTCATAGAATTTTTTATCGCAAGTTATTGAATATCAATACGTGTCGTCCAATACTTGAAAATTCCAGGCTACGCACGCAATACCACGCAATGTTGTTGAAATTTATCTTATTATCCGACGCGTCGCTCGGACATATTTTAAGAGAAGAGCGTGCAACGCGGCCAAGCAATTGAGCAGAGCAGAGCAAATGATTCACAGTCACGAAGAAGAGTAAATTTTCGTCCGGATTTGTTGAAACATTTGAAAACTCGACGATGATGGCAACGTGTCCCGTATATTTCCCTCGGCGATACAAAGCCAAAGTCCCCCCACGGCCACGCGTAACTAGGCGTCAGTCACGCGCGCGCGCGCGCGCGCTTTCGACGTAAGAGCATAGAGAGAGAGAGAGAGAGAGAGAGAGAGAGACAGACAGACAGAACGTGCATGGGCGCGTGTGCGTATGCATTGTCCATGTAAAGAAATCGAATGCACGGGCGACTGGCAGCCGCGTAGTAGTCGTAGCGTCCGTCGTCCGCTGCAAGGAGGGAAAAGGGTAGGTGCGCCCCGTCAATCCGCTCCTCCGACCTACGACAAACCTGCCCCTGTGACGACAAACTGTCGACGGGCTGTCGCCCAAAAACTCGTCGCGACGCCCTCGTGAACGACTCCCCCCTCCCCCGCCCACCGTCCACCTACCCATTCCCATTTTCATTCTCCCATAAACGAGGCTCGGCGGTTTTTGGGTTCGCCACTACTTCTCGCGCGCCGCGCCGTCCAATTTATCGAAATGTTACTACTTTATTTACTTCTTCGTCTTTCCCATCCCCCAGGAGCATTATCATCGATAGGGCATTCGACGTCTCATCTCTCATACGCATCGCCGAATCCATTGATCTTCACAAATGTGCCATGATATTGTTATTCGACTGGGACGACGGTTAGCGACGACGGCCAGTTGCTAACGATTATTCCTATTAACGCTGGCTCGTAACGCACAAAGGACAGAGGGAACGCGAAATCCATAAGCCACCCCACACCACCGTCGGCGCGTTTCGGGACTTTGTAATAACAAACCGGCTTGGCTCGACAATTGGAGCTCGGGCGCACGCAATGGGCCTCGATATTCTCCATAGGCAGAATCATTCGGACATCGGCCGAAGTTGGAGTTGGGGGGATAGGCGGGTTGCGGGGCATCTCGCGATCGCATCTGGTAAGATGCGACGGTTGGGCGGTGGGGGAGTCGAGGGGCACGGGGGCTCGTCCCATGAAAGAAAAGGCGCGAGAGAGCGGACGATCGCAGGTACGGCGATCGCATCACGACGGTCTCGAGGACGATCGTCTTTGGGCGATCGAGGGGGTAGTGGTGAGCCGAATGAGCGAAGCCTCGGAGGAAAAGCGGCGAACAAAGGAAGGAGCGCGGCCGCGAGAAGGTGAAGAAGGGAGGACGGAGCCGCAAAAGGAGCGAAGTCGAGGAGAAGGCTCCGCGCGTTCGGGGAAAAGCCGAGCGGAGGTTGGGTGCGAGGGCGGCGTCGATTGGTCGCCGCGGGACGCGATGCTCTCCCTCTCGCTCGCGGACTCGCGCGCGCAGCTGTCGTCGGGGGTGGGGGCAAGACCGGAGCGCGCGCGGCCCTTGCAGCTGCATGCAGCTATATGCAACACAGTAGTAGCATCCGAAGAGTCGTTGTGTCTCGTGTTGGACGTGCGCGCGTTTCTCCCAGCAGTCAGTGCTCGTCCCGGTTTAGCGCCGAGGAAACGCCAAGAGTCTCCAGGCCGACTGAGACGATAGATAGAGGAAAAGAGAGAGATAGATAGAAGGAGAGCGAGTGTCCTATCTACGCACAGCGCGAGTCCTGCGCGTCCTTCTCCTCCTGTCCTAGAGGAGACGACGTCTCGCTTCGGCCGCCAAAATGGTGTCCGGAGGCATGGCCTGTGTCAAGTACCTGCTGTTCCTGTTCAATCTCATCTTCGCGGTGAGTCGTGCTTTGCTAGAAGCTGGTCGGCGGGACCATGGGACCATAAGGAGTATGACGAGCAAGGGGGGTGGGGGTGGGGAGTAGGACGAGCGACGAGCGACTCGCATGTACGTGGCACCATTTCCTTAGGGTCCACGCGTTTTTCGGTCTGTATTTTTCGCGCGCGTCCATCGGCGTCCGTCGCGTAATCCGCGACCGTTCGATAATCCCGGCTGAGCGTCGGCGTCGGCGTCGGCGTCGGCGTCGGCCTCGGCCTCAGGCTCGGTCTCGGTCTTGGCTACTTCCCCCCCCCCCCCCCCCTTCCCCCCTCCCCCCCCCCCCCCTCCCCCAACCCAACCCACCCACCCACGAGTGCACGGCAAAGAAATACGACGCGGCGCCAATAGCTTTTTCCCTGGCGTCGGTGCATTCGATTTTATATGCGACGACCCCCGCCCGACGTTGCCCCAACGCTGAACTCTGTCCCTTCGCTATTCTGTCTCTTTACCCTCCTCCCTCCCTCCAATAGCCCCCTTCATCGCTCGTCCCGTCCCGTCCCGCGTTGCGGTGCCAGGCAGCCCGACTGCCCGTCCCCACCAACCTCCCCTCCCCTCTCCCTCGTAGCTTCGACAGCCGCGCTTCTCGCTTCTTGGCGATTTCCAAATTGCGGAAAGGCGGCACTGTAAATGTTGTCCTTCGAGAGAATCTTGGGAGACGGTTGCGCTCGAGTTAGCGAGCTGGAAACGGAGATTCGATATGCTTTTGGGCCTCGTGTGGCGAACAGCTTTCGTGACGAGGCCTTTCCGAAATCGACACTTCCCCCCCTCCCGTCCCTCACCCCTCTTCACCTTACCCCATCCTCCACCATCTATTGTCCACCCTTACCGCCTCGCTCTATCCCTCGAACCGCCTCGTTTTAGCGACTAAAAATAACCGTTCCTCTCGAGGGTTTCCAGATTGTATTTTTCAACTTGACAGTCAGTCCCGCGCTTCCTGCATTGGCCTTTCTTCGGCCGTCCTCTAACGTTCCCATGTTTTTTTCTCGGCGCCGATACTCGTCGGAGTTTCTAAACGGATTCATTGAACAACGGCCACTAGTCGTTGGCTCAGCGGCTGTCGGCATCACGGTCAATCACTCGCCTAGCACGAATGTCGTAACATTACGTTCGCTCTCGATACATCTCGATACGGTTGATTTAGGATCGTTTGGCAGGATCGACTTAGCTAGTTGGTTCGTCCCAACTAGCGCAAACGAATCGAATATTATGCTGCACGAAGGATAATAACTTGCGTTTGAGCTCTCGTCGTCGTCGCGGCGCACACTTTCACTTCGTTTCCTATGTCTTTAAGTTTTTGTCGATCGATCTCCGACGAATGTTTGTAATGCGCAAGCCCCATGGCACGAGAACAACTCAAATTACAATTGCATGATTCTCGAAAAACCACTTATCTTTATGTAAATGGAATCGAATGAGATTGTAGAAATTATAATTGTGCTTTCGAAAAAACGTCATATTTGGCACGCCTGAATTATGTTGTAAGCTTCGTTCTAAATCAATAGCTGAAAATACAATAGTAGGAGTAGGAGTGACAAGAGGCTGAATGACGGGGAGAGGTGGGTAATCGTGGGGGGGGGGGGGGGGGGGGGGGGGGGGGGGGGGGGGTGGAGAGAATATTGCGTTTCTATATAAATTTTACGCTTAATTTTTCAGCCTGAAAAATCCAATCGTACCTCCTTTTGCGAGCATAACGAAACTATCGAAACTTCTAAAAATCAGAAATCTCAGGTCATGATGAATCAATCGGTCTCTAAGCTTTATAAACGAATTACATGATTAATGAATAAAAGTATTTTATAACGCGAGCACTATGAATAAAAACAAATGTTTAAGGATTTAAATTCGACGAATATGGTATGTTTTATGTGCGATATATTTGCAAATAGATTTTGTTCACCATAACGGATAATGCGATTAAAGCGAAGACATAGAAATTTTTATAAATAACATAGGCGACTGTAAATATAAATTTTTGAAAAAAAGATTAGTTGTCTTGGTTTTCCTTTAAATTCTCGTGTGTCTTTCATCCGAAATTGTCACTAAATCATAAAAAAATCTTGTAATAAAATTTATAGATGCCGAATTACAGTCCATTATTAAATTAATAGCGTTGGTAAGATGAATGGATGGATCAATTATTCATTCATTATACAAGATAATTAAGTAATGTAATTAGCATTGTGCAGTAAATGTTTTTGTCATTCGTTCGTTAGACAATAATCGTTGTAATAAGAAATGCAAATATACGAAAATATATTTTCATATCCATTTGTTAAATGTAAAACTTGAAAAGTTATTTTTAACGAGATATCTGCAATTAATAATTAAACATTTGAAATCTTTTCATCGTTTAAAATTGAGGTCTTATATTTTTCTAACTTAATGCGTATGAGTAAGGGGTTCGACTATGAATCGCTATTCTTGGAAATTTTATTAATTGCTAATAAGAAATTGCAATTGACTTTACAGTTCCATCGAATGTTCGCTATAAAAATTTTATTTGCACATTTTTTTATACGTCTTGTGCTAGCTTAAAACAATAAAAAATGCAGATACACGTCTCGTATTAACAAAGAAACAATTTTTTATCATTGCATTAGTTAATTAAAAAATGTGTGCTTATTAGGTTGAATAAGATCGGATAAAAAATATGGTAAATAAATTTTTTAAATATTCATAAAGTCTAGATTGTTTATTAAATCATTATTTTTATTGTACTATATAAGATATAATAAAATAACATTTAGTGAATTAAATTGAAAAAGTTCAAGTTTTTGTAATTGAAAATTTGTAATTGATAAATCGTATTGTTTCATTTCTGAGAATGTGTATGTAGTTACATATATTATTATATATTATTATATATTATATATTAAGCAATAATGAGGCTGAAATTGGTTCGAAAGAGCATCGACCTAATGAATTAGCAAATTTAGTTTATAACAATAACAATAACAAGTTTGGTCAATATCTGTATATATATATATATATATATATATATATATATATATATATATATATGTCTTCCGGAAGCAACGAAATTTCCATTTAATCATCTAAATGATATTGGCATGCTGTGGCAGATAAAATTGGACTTTAAAAGTGAAAGAAGCTATTGAAGAAATGGAAAAATGTCGCTGTGATAATTAACCCCGAGTTTTCTTTATTTAGCAATACGTGGCAGCCACACAACAGCCGATGTTCTCTCTCTCTCTCTCTCTCTCTCTCTCTCACCTCTCTCACTCTGTCTGTCTACATCTATGTAGATACGTCGTTTATGCGTCTGACTGTTATCGAGATCTATGATTTGCATATCAAATAGATAGTAAAAATAAAAAAGTAATCATAGACGAAGCACGACATTCGATTGTGATTCACTGATATACAATTTAAAAACAATAGCGCTTCGGGAGTATTGTTACTTACTTGTGTAAAAATCAAGGGGTTGATTGTTAATCGATGCTTATCCTTCTCTCGTCCCTAATATTAAACATCATATTTCCTACAGGACGTATATTTTTGTCACTACTTTATTTGTTTGTTTAATCTTCGTAATTATTGCCTTTTCAATTGTTCATAATCGTCGACATAAAGTTACTAAAACGAGTAGCTAAACTACTCCATTATCCATGTAGGTTAATTTATACAAAACTTAATCCTCATATTATAGTATTTTATTTGTCAGTCAGGATCTATGACGTATTGCTCTGAAGGGTAGAGCACAGTTTTATGTTTAAGTAATTACTGCAGTCGTCAAATTCAAATCAAACCCCATTACTTGTGCGTTATACGATCTAGTTCTTCCCTATTAACTACTGTAAAATCGACTATTGATTTTCAAAAGATTTACATTTCCAGGTTGTCGACAAGTAGTGTTGTAAATAATATTAACAGTTACCCTTTAACAATATTCCATCCCAATATTATTCATAATATATTTGTTATGTTCGCTTATTGAAAACTTTGGATAAAAAGGTTAATATCACGTAATAATGTTTATACGATAGATACGAGAAACAAAAATAAAATCAATTAAAATGAATTTTAATTACGAATATTATGACGAAAATAATATACTTCGAACGGCAATTGAGAAATATCAATAAATAAAATTTGATATTGTTTGTATAAATTACCAGAAAAAGAGGAAACATAATTTTATATAATTTTCGGTATTATTGGGTGAATATAAAAATTCTGTATATTGCCGTTATTATTGGGTAAATAAAAAAAATTATTTATATTTAATAATATACTTAGTGGAAGGGACAGCTGCAAGTTCGACCCAAGATAATATCAATAAATATTACTTTTAATATTTTATAAAACATTTTTAATTTATATTATGTGCAAAATAATTCTTATTAATGTTATTACATTATTTCTAAAATACGAATATATTTTAATGTGAATAGAATTTTTCTGTTTTCAAGGGTTTATCAAATGACTTTAGACAATACGGTAAAAATGTCTATTCTCAATAGTAAAACAAACAATGCACAACACACGCTTTGCTAAAAATATTATCATAATTGTTAGCAAACATTCTTATTATCTCCTTATTGCTAATAATAACAACATGCATCTAATGAATAATTGTCCGTATATAATAATAATGACCACTATTTAACAATCACGAAATTTTTAGTGGCTCACGTAATAATTATTTATAGAAAGTTTTTTACGTTGTTACAACTACTGGAAGGACAAGCATAGATTTAGAAATTTCTAAACATAATTGCATATCGTACAAACTACGTTCACACAGTCACTTTCTTATACTTTTCGAAATAAAAGGTGTGGCTTTATATAAAATTTATTATAATGTACAAGTTTGACGATTACTGATTACATATTTGCACGTGTATTATTTGAATTTACACCACAATTTAATTATAACAACAGAAAAAATAATAATAAAAAAAATAGGGAAATGTTTTTAAACTCTGCGTATTGTATTACGTGAAAAAAAAAATTCTGATATATGTTTACGGCAATGAGATGTAGTTTTTTTTTATGTTTTTTTTTCTAAACCACGGACACTCGGCTCTTATATTCCAAAGCGAATGGAGTTTCGAAGAGTCCGTAGAGCTCACCAGGGATTTAAGGCGAAAGAAAGTAATGACATTATGCATTAAGCCCGATGTAGTAAATATAAATGCATTATCTGTAATTGGAAAATGAAATACCTAATTATTTCATTTACCGCCTTGTATTTATAAAAGAAAAAGATACGATCCTAGTAATAAATTGTGAAATGATAGAAGTGATAAAATATCAAGTAGCATTTACATTTACAAAAGTATTCGACTTTGTAAAAATATAAAATTATTACCAATTTGTTTTTCCTTAACAATTATCGATAAACAAGTAGTTTGCGGTATTTATTTGAGTATGCAAAGTCTTTTATAAGGTTGTTATTAATTCGACTTCGCTCACCTAATTCTTATAAATGTTTCTACCTAACAGTCCACAAAAATCTTACGATTTAATTCTTTACTTCTCCAATACAATGCTACTTTTATTTACATAAATATTAATACAAATAATAACATTCATAATAATATTATTTTATTTTAATGTTATTTTATATTTCTTAATGAAGCTGCTCATCTTCTATTTTGATAGCTGGGAAAAGGGGATTTTATTATCCAAAATTTTCTTTATCCATGTATCGAATTTGTTAACATTTAGAAGATTTATTTATAATTTTAATAATTATCATAACATACTATTCCATTACTCTTTAAATATTGTATACAATTTTCTTTGCAATTTGAAAAATTAATTCATTAGAAGAAAAGTGCATTTTTAATCTACAATTTTATTGCACATACATTTTTCCATAAATGGATAAATTAATTTTGTTATTTATATATATATATATATATATATATATATATATATTTGATAGAAGAGATTTGCAAAATCCAATTGAAAAATGTAAAGTGTTATAGCAAATAAACGAGCTACAGAGCTTGCAAATAAGGGAGAAACATAAAATAATTATTAGCTACGTAGTTTTTACGTTTGTTACCTTTTTCCATTTTTTTCTTTTAACTTTTTTAACGTAATTCTATATGCAGTAATGTAAATGATTAAATCAATATTAGCTTAACAATTACTTCTAACTATTGATTTATTTTTACCGTCACTAGTTCTCAGCTTAAAATTAATAATACAGTTGATATTTTTTAACAAAATGATTTTTCATTTTACAAAGTATTCAAGTACTCTTCGATCGTTCCAATAAATATTTCTTAACTACCATTGGCTGAAATTTAGCAGTGACATTTACATTTTTAACATTTAGTGTATTATACAACGGTTATAGTATAACAAAATGATTTTTATAACAATATTTAGTTTATCGCATAGAAAGAATTAAGCTAATTATTAATCTATCTAAAGTTTTATAGTAAAATTTATGGAATAATAGTGATTAGAGTTATGATCAAGTTATTGAATTTTGATAAATTATAATGTCGTATGAATGTGGGGAAAAAATGCATTAAAATCTTCGATGTATATGATCGATGTATCCTCTGCCTGTCAAAGCCCATAACACGTTATATTATTATGTTTTGCCCAATATATGTTGCGGGGAATATATTAACCTATATTAGCCTAATATCATACCGAAATAACCTAGTTATAAATATTTTTCAAGACCCGCGCATTAGAATAAGAATGTCGATGAATTCCAGGACAAAATGCCGTTTCAGCTAAGCGGCCACCGCAACATTTAAACGCAATTGCCCAGTCCCATATATTTGCAAGCTTTATTATTATTATTATTATTATTATTATTATTATTATTATTATTATTATTATTATTATTATTATTGTTATTGTTATTGTTATTGTTATTGTTATTGTTATTTGGCATTGTAAAATGCACGTCACGATGAAAGGAACGTCGGTACGACGCGGTCCACGAGCCCCAATGCAAATCCGTGCCGCGACTGCACACTCGCACCTACCCCCCGACTGCGTGGCGGGAAAATTCAAATGGACGCGAGCAGACACGCGCGGCGGACGGCCTTAAAGGGCGCGCATCGGACGCTGACCACCGCCTTTATAAATTGTTGTTTAGGCGTGACTGGCTTGCAATCGCCATTAGAGATCTTCATTTTGCGCCGACATTAATGTGCGCCGGTCAATTTCCTTCGAACGCGAGGCGCATTTTCACGCACGACCTCCTGCTCTGCATAACCGCTGCAATTTCAATTAGTTTGATGAGCGGGCGAGCGAGCGGCCATTGAAATGCGCCGAGCGATGCATCGGCGACGGGACTGTGACGACACCTTGTAGGGTTACCCATTTTTAGCTGGATGCTCGCGCAACGAGTAAGGATCGAAGTCGGGACGAGGAAGTGACGGTAAATCTCTAAGAGCTTCGCGATTGGATATTTCATTAATCGGATGAGACGAGGGCGGTGGCGGCGGTGGCGGCGGTGGCGGCGACGGCGGCAGCATCGTCGACTAAGGACAAACGCTTGATTGCGATTTCAAGCGGTTAATCAATCATTTCGTACGCCACTGTTGCGCTACGGCACCTTTTTCTCTTATCAAATCCGCGGTGTAATTGCATTACTTCCGGCTGACTTTCCGAGCCACTTGACACAATTGATTTTGTATTGATGTAAGTAGCTGGCGCGAAAACCATTAACGACCGTTATTCGCGATATTTAATTGTTTGCTCCTTTTAATCGTATTGTTATTGCTAGGCGAATACTCTCCTATCGATATTGCTTGCTTCAACTAAATTAAATCAAACCTTTAAATTATTTCACGCCTTCCTGTAGGTTAATTATAACGTAATTGGCTCAAAAGTATGAAAACTCTTGAATAAATGGAATTTTCAATATTTTCCAATGAAAGTCACACGGTAAAATGTTAAAGAAAATTAATTTAGCTAATATTAAAATCTAGAGACGTGATAGGATGTATAATATATTTGCGTAACTGTGTCGTCTTAGCTTAACTGTACTTTAGAATAATTTACATTTATTTAAATAGCATAAAGTTTTCATTCCTGTATTTTGTTAACTTACAATGATTTGTAAGTTGTCATAACTGGTGCAGAAAAATATTAATTATTGTTGTAATCATTATAAACATTTGGCAATTTGACCAATTAATTTTTATAAATTTGTCGATGATTTGACTGAAATTTATCAAGTGTCTTGTATGTGTTTTACAATCATTGTTCTATAAAAAAATACATAAGCTCCACTAGATCTTCGTATCCTTGAGTCAGTGTCAATTAACATATTATTAATCCAAGTGGTATTAGAGACGAATGATATTTCATTTGAACAATTGCATAATCGTAGATATTACGACTGTCAAAGAGTACTTGCTATTCAAATGTTACAACAATGATTTTCACTAGCTACTACAAAATGGAGTCTGCAATAATTTTCTTACCAACGTGTTTAATCGTCCATTTAAAGATATTGAAAGCTTAAGATAGAAATTACTCCTATTTTAAAATTACCAATTTTCCAGTTCTATTATTTATTATTTATATAGTTTATTATTACAAGCTCTTAATTTCTTGTCTTTCTATATCGTTAATCAGCCTGGCGTTATTTTGCTTATTTATAATAATAAGATAAAACGATAATAGATCGAAAGAATGAAAATATAAAACAAACAAAAAAGCACTCGGAGATGAAATTCTTATGCAATAATGTAAATGGATGCGCAATAATAATAAAAAAAAGTGCTTACCAACGTAAAATAACTTTATTTATAAGAGCTTTAAAATATTTATATACAATGCAGCGATATACTTTATAATGTGACGACGAGCCTAGAGAATTTTATTTTATTCGACAATCAATCAAAAGTTAAAATCTTTCAGTTAGATATGACAGTGTGAATATAAGCGTATAAGCGAAAGTGACCCGTAATGGATAATTCTCTAACCCCCTCCACCCCCACCCAAACACGATTATTACAATTTAATATTATACAATACAGCGATGATTATATTACGTACTGATTATTACATTACATGTCATTGCACCAAGGACTAACGATAAATTAAATTATCGTTTACAGATCACAGGGATCGTCTTTATCTCGGTGGGCTCTGTCATTCTCATCGTTTATAAAGGCTACGGGAATTTTGTCGACATATGGATGTTCGCAGTACCAGTACTGATGATAATCGTCGGCATTGTTGTATTTATCATGTCATTCTTCGGTTGCTGTGGTGCAGTTAAGGAAAACCACTGCATGATAATAACGGTACGTTACATTCAATGTATACTTTTTTCAAATTACAGTCTTTCTTTTTTTTTTTCTTTCTTTTTTTTATTACCTGTTTTATTTATTGTTTTAACCTCTCTTGCTGTTTATTATTTTTGTTTATCATCATAATTATAAATTTGTTACCGACTACTAGTAATATAATATTTATTTTATCTTTAAAAAGCATCATTGGATTCAAATGTCAAATTCCTTTTAACGTACGTTTCTTTATAAAATCTTAAAACAGTGAATTTCTTGTAACAAATCTTTGCGTACAAAAAAGTTATTAATTATGTAATTTATGATATATATATATATATATATTTTTTTTCAAAGTTTTTACAGTTTTGTTTAAAATATTTTTGTATCAAAATATTTGATGGCCACCAAGTTGTAATTGCTTTTCATAATTTGATTTCTCGTAACTCAGCAATTACATCATATTCATTTGTTTAACTGTTTACACGTATCTTATGTTTTTTATTGCCATCATATTTTCTTCACTGAAATGGTTCTGATTACTTTCAAATTTTACCAAACATTTACTTTCCATCTTAATGAATACACGGCAAGCAAATACTTTTTTATATTAAATTGACTATAATCCAAACTGCCCAATGCTATTTACACTTAATTCTGCGCGAAATGAAAATCTACGTATGCAATAAATTACACCTTATATTATTATTATTATTATTATTATAGATTATGAGATTGTCTCTTCAAACGAAATAGATTTACTTTTATATGTAAAACGACATTTTTAAATATGACAATTATTGTTATGGCTGTTATAACGGTAGTCTGAGGTACATTGGGTATTGCATGTCGTATAATTCCATTGTCCTTAGTTTTCATCCTCTCATTATATTTTGTCTTCATGATAATTAGTCATTTAAGTAGAATATTAATTCATTTAATAACCACGTCGATCGGTCGTCCCTTTAAAAGAGAAAATTAATTGTTTTATAGTTTGAGCTCGGACCTCTAATGCCGGTTAAAATGAACTTTAAAGTATTTTTTATCATATTTTCCCGGTATTTAATATATACGAGCGTCCAGCATTATATGTTTTATTTTACAACTACCCTCCTCACACCTCATACCTCTACTCCCTTAAATAGTAAATCATCGTATATCTCGAGCCCTGTAATTTCCTTAACTACCTTAATGCATATTAATGTTTTCGATGCTAATATCGACATTGTGTGCTGCTTTATCAGTTTTCAGTATTATTGCTGCTGATCTTTGCCCTTGAATTGGGCGCTGGCATCTCAGGATACATGATGCGTAGTAAGGTCAGCGCTATGCTGGAAAAGTGTATGAACGCTGCACTTGTGGACTACAATAATAGAGACGATTTCCGTACATCGTGGGACATCATGCAACACGACGTAAGTGGCAATTATTTATCGAATATACCTTATCGTGTTGAATCCTACATACTTCTTTACGTATAGCCTCTTTGTAAAGAGAGCACGTAATAATATGTATGCAATAATATATGGCGTATTTTGGTGTTTTTAACATTGAAAATTACTATCGTTGACGAATGTGACATCGGTGACATTTTGGAACTGATACAGAAACTGCTTGGATGCCTAATAAGAATAAAAACTCGGTTATTACGATTCACAAGCACAAGCGTAATTGTAGGCAAATATCGAGTTATAATTGTGCATTCGTGTCTTCCATGTATACGATGTATGAAATCAATTGTTTTTTTGTTTTTGTTTTTTTTACTTGTCCTGTCACTCGGTTACTAAGCGTTTCATACAACGATGGATTGTTGATTGATCATTATCTTAATAAGCGATGATAAAGCCTTATGCATTTAATTTGCTCTGTCATTTATTTGAAAGGAATATACATTATTAGCTTAGTTCTTACAATAAAATTATAAAATATAAAATCACTTATCGTTAAACTATTTTTATATTATATATTACAAATGATATTTAGTATATTAATTTAAGATGTGCGTCAAAGCTGCAGTCAAATTTCTTCCAGTCTTATCTATGCGTGATAAACATCACTTTTACAGCTGCGTCAATGGCATGTGAATAATCCTGTCTAATTGCAAAACGAACACGATGTAATGCAAATTTTTTCGACATTTATTCGTGTAAATATTCTAGGATATGGATTATTTTGTAACGGCAGCAAGCACAGCATCACGTACAAGAAGTAACTTTTGCACATACGTAAAAGTTATGGTTTTTATATAAAAGGGGACAAAGTAATTCTATGAACAGTCCACTGCATATTCAATCAATAATAATCGTATTTTCTAATGAAAATAATTACGCTCTCGTTCGACAATCGAAACACGTGTGTGTCTTCTCGTTGCAATTTTGCAAATAGAAGTCTTTAGTGCCTTTTGCTCTCAGGGCCCGGGACAATCAAACAATCAGCCAACTGAATAACGTCCTCTAAGCGATCTATTCCTAAAGCTAATCGCACTGTCATCGCGCGTGAATACGATCCTACACAGACACACACGCTCACACCTCATGCTAATCCATCCTAGACCCTCGGCCCGTATCGTACACCAATGGTAAATCGCCAGGAATTCACGGCAGACTGTGCTAGGCCGTCCCGCAAAAAACCGCTTAAACCGCGTGAAAGTTCATAAAATTCAAATATAGATAGGGGTCAAGCGTCTCTAATACCTTCTCCCAAGCAATTTGCACTAAAATCTTTTTAATGTATACAGATTCGATATATGGGGCTCGTGCACGCGACCGAAAAATTCTCAAACATAACAGGGTCGCGTAGAAAGTCTGCTCTGTTATCTTCTTGCTTCTATTGTTGAAGAGACTTATATTCTCACCTTTATATCTTCATGCATATCTCCCTCCCTCCCCCCACCCTTTATATACTTTCAGCGAAATTTAGATAATTTAATAGGCTTGGATATTTTATAGACAATACCTTTAATACCAACAATAATAGCATTCCAAGCATCACTGCCACTTGCAATTGAATTGGCCAAGTTAATAATAAGTGACAATTATTTGCTGAAGTCGACGAATATATAGCTCGACATATATATCCTTTATGATTAATAAGTAAGCAAGGATAATGCCCGATAATAATAACGCATTTTGGGAATAATAATACATAATATGGTTATAAGGTGTTTTCTTCTCTAGTAATGGCTGCCTCGATATTACAGCGTATAAAAATCAATTCTTCAACTTATTTTGAAGCTC